GATCATAACAGTTCCTGCCTTTCATTGACGCTGTGTTGTGACTGTCCAATCAGTGCTGGTGGCAGTGACTGCTAACTGTCATGATGATTGTTCAAACCTACCTATCACTCTATGGGAGAAAAATCAGGCTGTCTGCTCCCGTAAAGATGTATCAAGCCTGGGAAACCCTAGATACGGTCATTATGGCTTTTAACTGAAGGACACCTTGGGAGGTGCAAAAGGTTCTGGGCTCCATTACTAGGTGAGAGGTTGGTGGTTCAAACCCACTCACAGGCACCTTGGAAAAAAGGCTTGGCAATTCCTCTTTCAAAGGTCATAGCTTCAAAAATTCCATTAGAAAGCAAAAACAAAGCAAACAATGACCCACTGCCATCGATTAAGACTCAGGGTGACCTTATAGGACAGAATAGAACGTCTCCTATGGGTTTCTGACACTGTAATTCTTTACAGGGGTGAAAAATCTTACCTTTCTGCCATTGAGCTGCTGGTGGTTTCAAACCTCGTGGTTTGAAGCCCACCACATAACCCCTACATCCCCAGGGCTCCTTAAATAAAATACAAACCAGCCAACAGCCAACTAAACCACCCACCCACCCACCCTGTAGGACAGCTCTAGTCCGCACACATGGGATTGTCGTGAGTCGGAATCAACTTGATGGCAGTAACAGTAACAACATCATTGTTGTTCTAATCTGCTTGCACGAATAATCTAGCCTAATTCTCCATAGATCCCTTATGTAGGAGCTACCATGAGCTAGCCAAATGGAAAGAGAATTGAAAGACAGGAAGACGTGAGCTCTCTGCCTGTCTTAGTTCCCTGGGGTTGTGACAGCAGAAACATCACAAGTAGGTGCCTTTAACAAACAGAGTTCTCTTTTCTCACCGATGGGGAGGCTGGGAATCTGGAGGCAGGGCCCCAGCTCTAGCGGAAGAGTTTCTTTCTGTGTTGGCTCTGGAAGATGGTTCTTGTCTTTTCTGAGTTTCTGCTCCTGGATCATCAGTATCTGGTTTGACATCTCTCTTCCCCTGTCTGCTCTGCTGGCTTCTTTCATCCCTTCTTATCTCAAAAGAGATGGATTCAAGATGTACCCTACATGATTTCTGCCTCATTAACATAGAAAAGCCAACCTGTTTCTAAATGGGATTTTAACCACCATCATAGAGGCTACAATGCATTTTGTGTGTGTGGCAGGGATGTAGGGGGTGGGGGAAGGACAGAATTCAATCCATAACACTGCCTAAAGCCACGTAGTTGGCAAGTGGCAGTGTTGGGATTTGAACCTAGACAGTATGGGTCCCAAGACCATGCTTCATAGGAGCCTTCTCCCAGGGTTGTGCTGAGAATTCCCTGAGCTATTGCAAACAGAGCACTTGGTGCTGTGTGTGGTACCAAGTAAATGCTCACACTCTGGAGTGGTCTGGGATGTTCAGGGTATTAGCGTCACCCCGAGAGACCCAGCTCGTCACAATCACCTCTCATCCCTTTGCTAAAATGAGCACAAGCTGTTTGTTCCCACGTTTCTTTATATGATTTTATGCAGTACTCCCATTCTAGACATATTTGGGCCCATCTTGATTATAATTTGTTTCCTGGATTTGTTTCTCGATCTTTAGCCAAGAGAGTCTTATACCTCCCTTCTAGAAAATCACTTTAGATCGATGTTCTATCTCTAACACATCACCGTGGATGCAAAACTACCACTCCTTTGAAAATGCTGCTGATGCCTTAGGTTTGAACTCCATTTCTGTAGCCCTGCTGCTCTGTTTAAGGCTCTGCAGGGGTGCTCGGCTGGATCCTGCAGGCTTAAAACCAACTGTATGGGCTCCACGTTTGCTACCCAGGCTCTGGGCCTTGAGCTTTGGGCTGTTTCCTGAGATTATAAATCTGTTTGCATATCTGCTTCCTTCCTGCCACTTCTAACTAACTCCTTGGGCTTTTCTGATTTACTGATTATGTACAGTCTCTTGGTAGTTTTTCATGGAATTAAGATAGTGTTTCTGTTGCTTGTATCTGGCAGGGCATAGCTGGAGCTGAAGTGTGTGTGTGTGTGTGTGTGTGTGTGAGAAAGAGAGAGAGAGAGAGAGAGAGAGAGAGAGAGAGAGAGAGAGAGTTATCCTTGACTCATTTTTTTTTTTGCCTTTTCTTCCTACATCTAGGGCATCAGCATGACCCATAGGCTTTGCCTCCAAAATAGACCTACAATCTGTCCCCTTCTCCATCACCTCTGTTGCTACTCTTTCAGAACACCGTCACCTGGATCCAGGCAGAAGGGCCCCTACCTGGTGCCCTAGTTAGCATACTTTGCCATCTATTGAACATTGCCCATCTAGTCTCTAGATTAGTCTTGGACAAAGAGAAGCACATTGAATTATTTGCTTGCCTGAAATCTTTCAGCTGTGTCCTATCACCTTGACCTTTAATGTGATATCTGATCAAGGCCAAAGGAACTTCTACTTCAACCCCATGCCCCAACTCTCTTCCTGCTACGTTTCTGTTGCAGCACTTGCCACTCTTTGGAGCTACATACTTTTTGCCTTGTTGTCCGGTCTCCTCTCTCCCGACAGAGAGTAAGCTCTGTGGAGCCCAGATTTTTTGTGTGTGCATACATTCCCACCATCATCCTGCCACATCACCAGTGTTAAGATAATGCCTATCATGTGGAGGCGTGCAATGAACATCTTGAATGAGTGAGCGATTAAATAGCTCCTTGAGATGATAAAGGAGCCCTGGTGGCACAGTGGGTTAAGCGTGGGACTGTGACCTGAAAGGCTTGCAGTTGGAATCCATCAGCTAGATGCTCCACTGGAGAAAGATGAGGCTGTCAGTTTCCGTAAAGATGACTGCCTTGAAAACCGTATAGAACAGTTCCTATTCTCTTCTATGGGGTTACTATGAGTCAGAACTGACTTGATGCCCTTGGGATTTGGGGTTTATCTGGGTACCTAACTCTTGGTTGGTTACTCTTTCTGTTTTATTGCTTTTGCCATAAATTTACATGGGAATACCCAAGGGTCTCTTTTGGATTCTGGTACAATTTTAAGTACGGAATCTTCAGGCTTGTAAAAATCAGCCCATTATCAAGCACTTCCTAGAACTTTCTCTCATGTACTTTGGGTGTGTCATTAGAAAGGACTTGTCCCTAGAGAAGGGACACTAGGCTTTGTAAAGGTCAAGGCCAGTGACTAAGAGGAAGACCATCAACAGATGGGCTGACACAGTGGGTCCAAGATGGGCTCAGATGCAGGAATGACTGTGAGGGTGGAGCAGGGTCGATGGTATTTCTCTCTGCTATATCCAGGGCTGCTGTGGGTTGGAACTAAGAGCAGCCCTCCATGCTGTGTATTTCTCAGTGATCCCACAAACTAAGTGTAAGGCTTGGAAGAGCTTGACAATATTCTTTTCCTCTTAGCCCTGCCACAGTGGTGTTTTATATCTCCCGACAATGTCCGTCCTGGGGAAATGGGCGGCTTTCTACTTCCACAGAGTGACGGTCCCAGAAACCCACACAGGGGCAGTTCTACCCTGTCCCATAGGGTCACCAGGGCACTGAAAGGAATGACATCTGTTGCCCATGTCCAGTGAGCCTAATGCTTATTAGCTGCGCAACCTTAGGCATGACTTTGATCTGTCTGGGCCTCAGTTTCTTCATTTGAAAAATGGGCATAAGTATAGTACTTACCTTGTTATGTTGTGAGCATTAGGTGACTTAATCCATGTTAAGTGCTTAGCACAGCATCCGGCACATAGTAGGTGCTCATTCCTCCCCTTGCTCTTTCTCCCTCTCAGGATCTCTAGTGACTTGGTACTGAAGACAGCACACAATTTAGTCTTCTGGGTGACTCCTGCGTCTTATTTCAGGATGCCTATTTTTGATTTTTCACTTGTTCAGTAGTGTTGCTATTAAAGTTTAAGAGAAAATGTTTGCCTCCCTTCAGTCTGCTCCGTGGGGTATGGACCTCCTAGCTGAGTGCCCTGAGTTAACACCTGTGACCTCTTTAGTGGCTTTATTCTGTGGGTGCCACCTTTTTCTGAACCCTGTGGCAGTTGGGTTGGGGGCCACAGGGGAGGTTACAAGTGCTATTGGAAGAAGCTTAGAGCCACTTCCTGCTTCGAGTCGCTTCCTTTTCGGATCAATGTCTCCGTCAGTCATTTCTTCCTGAAGTACGGAGACACAGGTGGTTGCTATCATACTTATGGATGGGATCTCTCCTCCTGAGTCCAGCATTCTCAAGAGATACTCCCCAGCCATCGCATTCCCCATGTTGTGCAGACAACATGTCCATGACCGGATAGATTTACACATTCCCTCTCTTTGACATGAACCTAGTAGAACTGAGCCTGAACTTATGCAATGGATGAGATCTTTCAACTCTCATTCGAAGTATTTAGATGCCTGGTTTCCCTCCTTGCTGAATCTAGTATCCCTTTTCCCACACTGCTGGCAGAGGCTAGCTCCCTGGCACACACTCCCCAGTGACGCTAACTAGGCGGGCACACCCACTTGCGTTGGCATGTTTCAGGGATGACCCAAACTGTAAACCCCAACATGTATAAGACATATGCTCTTTTCTTCGTGTCATTTTAGGCACCAAAATATGCCTACACATAGGGGGGTGTGCATACAGACACACGCATTTTCCTTTTTGCCTGGGAGAAATATGCTTCTGTGATGCGTCTTCCCCTCCCACACATGCCCCTCCGTGGCTGGCACTTCTCCTGATTATTTCCATCGACTCCCTCCCCACAGACCTTTTGTGTGTATATCTTGGCATACATTCTCTTGATTCTGCCTAGTGCTCCCCCCTCCTTTCTTTCTTTCCTTGCTTCCCTCCCTCTCCCTCCTCTTCACAATTCTTCAGAAAATTTGCTAAACTATACACTCTTTATTATTAATGTGCATTTATGAAAAATTCCTCACGGTTACAAAAGTGCATGGTTATAAAATCATCTCCATACAAAGGTTGGCATCTTCCCCTTTCCCACCCCTCCCTCCCCCAGACATCAGCACTCCATAGGGCAGAAAGTTAGAAAAACTGAGCGCTATTGTTGCTTCAGAGTCTCTACCCCGTGCCAGCAAACGCAATGGTGATTTAGGAAGGACGTTGCAACCTGCCTCCCTCATTTCCTTCTGGCCTCTTTTTAGGGTGGTGAAAGCAGACGGGTTCCTTTAGCTTTGAGATGTCCTTGTGAGTCGTGGACAATGGTGTCCCCTTAAATTCTTCTAGAGCTGGAAAGGATGTCAGAGGCACGTCAACCACGTGGGGCTGATGCTTGATGGTTGAAGAGAAGTATTTGCCTCGATCATTGTGAATTGTATGCATCAAGGTCCATGAAAGGAACTGGGAAACTACAATATTTCCAGGGGCCTATTTTCTAGAGAAGCAGAGATGAGGGTTTGTCTGAGGGTGACCAGAGGCAGTTGGTCTACAGTGGTGTGAATCTGAGCTCTTTTCAAAGTATACTTTTCTTGGCTTAGATCCTGATCATTGTAGTCCTCGTGGGTTGGTTACACTTAGATCTTCTTGGATCAAGCATGAGGGAGGTGCCGATGAGTAGGGCAACTCTTTTCGGGACAGAGAACAGAGGGTTACAGGAAAAAGCCAGACTCTCAGTAGGCTGCTTGATTTCCCCCCCAAAATTTTCTAAGCAGTCAGCCCAATTCCAGGCCTGACTGGTTTCCATCTTGGCATATCAAAAGATGCGACAGACAGAAGACTGAGTAGATTGTGTCAATGGACCGAGTGCAAATTCCACAGAGATCTGCTTGACATCTGTGGCTACCCAATACATAAAGAGCCTTACAGTAGAGACAGACACAATGACTCAGAAGAACCCCAACACTCACATGTTAAGCAGTCTGGAAAAGAAATAGTGAAGCCTGTGGGAATGCCATAATGGATTCTCACTCACCAGCGAACATCAGCAGGAGCAATTCTCACTGGATTTCTACATTGCCTCTGGAAGTGTGCTTATTTGTTGCTTCTGACAGCCAGAACAAGGCGTAGTGGTGGTGATGGTGGTGGGGTAGTGAGCAGGGAATGGATTCCTTGTCAGTAGGGAGGTCGGATACACCAAGTCGCTTCTCTCTGTGTACTTTAGTGAACTGGGGACCTTTCAGAAGTTAGAGAAACTCTGTTCTTTAAAACCATCTCTCTTTCTCAGCAAGGTTTGCCATGAATGGAGACCAAATTATCTTACTAGAAAAAAACCCAACAATACTTATCTTAAGGGATAGTTGTCAGTTTGCTAGGTCCTAGTTCTATGCAAAAAGGGATGTATCTTGAGATATATTACCTACATATTAGTATACAGGAGTTCCTAGGAGGTTATCATGAATGCGCATGGTGTTCCTCTATGGGAGGAACTATTATTTTGATGAGCTTCTCCCTCAATACTTGAGCCAATCAGCTGGATTGGTAGACAGCAGGCCTAGTCCTCCCATCCTTGGGCACAGAAGGAGAGACAAGTTGCTGTTCTGTCTCAGATGTCATAGGAGCAGAACTCTAGCCCCAATGCTGTAAGAAGATATTCAAGGGACACAAGGTTCCAATCTCCCAAGCCTCGCAAGCTCTTTGGTTGACTAGCCCAGGGAAGCATTCCCCAGTTGCTATTGAGTCCATTCTGATTCAGGCAACTCCGTGCGTGTTAGAGTAGAGCTGTGCTCCATAGAGTTTCCAGGGCTTGCATTTTTGAAAGTAGCTCTCTAGCTCTTTCCTTTGGGGAGCATCTGGGTAGACTCAAACCTCCAGCTCTGTGGTTAGCAGCAGAGCCCGTTGACCATGTGCCCCACCCAGGAACTCCTCGTGGAGCATTGGGAGGAAGGACTTCCTGGAAGGTAATATGCCATCTTCCACCATACTTTTTAGGCCTTGCTGGGAGCATGGGGTGATGGAAGCCTACTGGGGATGGGGACGTGGCAGAGAGCTCCTGTCCTGATTCATTCCGGTCAGTGCTGCCAACGCATGAGACCATGATTGTACTTTGAAGTCTTATGAAAGATAAGCTAGCATTTATTTTTAAATCTACTCCTCCTTTAGGGTCTCATTATACTCTTCACCTAACCAGAAGAGCCTGGTTTTTCCTTACCCTTCATTACTCTTTCTCTTTACCCTTAATTATTCTTACAAAACAGCACCTCAGGTGTTATGTAGGAATGCTTTACAGAGCTTCCTCTCCCATTTTTCACATGACTGCCACCACAACCACCAGCGTGAATGCTGCCTCTGTGCTCCAGGAGGGTGTGAGTTGCTCTACAATGAGCCGATCTAAACCTGCCCAGCAGCTCAGGCTCACTGCCCTTTCTTTAGTCTATCTGCTAACATTCTCATGCCTGCGGATCTAGGGCTCTACTCCCCAAGCCCTCAACACAGTCTCTTCTCCAAGCACTGCACAAAACAGTGGAAGGAGAACTGTGTTGGAGTCAGAAGCCCCACCCCTACTGCTTCAGCAAGCCATACCTCTCCAGCCTCTGTTTTCCCATCTGCATAATAGGAGCAATGAGGTTTAGTTGGCTTCTCACACAGGAGTGTGGAAAGTGAAAGAAGAGGAGGCTAAAGCATTTCATGAGCTGACCTGGGCTGACCAAATCAAGTGAGGAATATAAGAAAGCTGATGGAGATGCTGGCAAGGACGATGGCAACCTTGTTTTGCACCCAAAGTTACTTCATTTGTGGATGACCCATTTTCATGGATGGGGCTACCTATGGCCTTCCTAATGCCCTTAGCAAGATATTCTGGGGTCAGTGACTCACTCTTGGAGCCACAGCTGAGTTGTCTGTGGACGGGGTAAATGGTGCTGGGAGGGTGGAAGTACACACGTCACTCGATGTAAAAGTGCACAGCGTGGTGCCTGAGCTTTAGAGCAGCCTCATCAACATTACTGGAATCCAGGTTTACAGTGATCAGTGGAGAGGAAAATATGATGCTCTACCTCCCCACCTGAGTTTGTGAAAACTTGAGAACCTTCATTTCGCTCCTTAAGGAGTGAGTGACTGGAATCTCTCTGAGTCTCAATTTCCTCATCTGTGAAGCTCATCGCACAAGATTATTGTTTGTGTTACCGGGACCCATCTGGGGAGAGAGCTTATCACAGTGCCTGGCACTGGCTGGTGCTCAGTAATTAATCACTCTCTCGCCTAGGTGGCACAGATGGTTTGTGCTAGACTACTAACCTCAAGGTTGGTGGTTTGAACCCATTCAGTGGTACTGTGGAGGAAAGGGACTGGGAATCTGCTTACCATAAGCCTACAGACAAGAAAACCCAATGGAGTAGTTCTGTATAACATGGAGTCATGATGAGTCAGAACCACACCCCTCACCACCACCCATCCCTATGATAAAATGGGTGTTGATAGAAGACGATCCTTCCTCTGGTTACAACGGTGGTGGCTAGCGCCATGCTACAGGTCTGTAGCCCACAGTGTACTGTCCTGGTGAGATCTTTTGGTGAGCACCAGGGGAAGAACCAGCCTCCTGATGAGTGAACAGGGCACTCTAGCTGGGCCCCTCTACCTGCCTCCCTCTTCTGAAGCACAGGGTTGAGTGAAAGGCAGCAGGCCAGGGCAGGAGAGAGGGCAGTGAAGGGTGTCTATCCTCAGCTTGCTACCTGAAACCTCACCAGCACGCTGCAGTTGGCAATGAGACTATGGGGAGCACTCCCCGGGAGGTGGTCTCACCTGGTAGCTCTGATAGGAGAAAGGTGAGCAGGCTGGCGGGAAAGCTTTCTCCCTCTCTAGAAGCAGTGGTTGGCAATGCCCAGAGCTGATAGATTGAGTGTCAGAGGGAAAGTTTGGGTTCTGGACCGCTCCCCCTCCCTGCACTTATGTTACAAAGGATGGTTAATAATGTGCAACCCACTAGGCATCTTCTGGCCTCTGTCCTTTGCACATGTTCACCCTCCTTGACGACTGTCTACTTGACCATGTCCTACTCATTCATCATCACCCAGCTCCCAAATCACCTCCACTTTTATAGTTCTCTCAGACTGTGCTAGGGACATCAATAGTGCTTTGAGCTTTCATAGCTACGTGCTCAGAGTACCGACCTGTCATCCTAAAGGGAACCGTGCTCAAATCTTGCTCCCTTGCTAAAAATAAGCACCTCGAGGGCAGGGGCTGGGTTAGACTTATCTCATGTTCCCAGTTCCCAGCACTCAAGTGCCTGGCCCAAAGTCCATGCCCAAGTAAAGTGAGTTTCCCCGACCTTGTTCCCAGGACAATGGTGGTCAAGGTTTCATGCATCGAACCAGAGTGGGTAATGAGCAAGGGTGCGGAGCGGTCAGTGGCAGCAGTGGTCGGCAGCATGGAGGGGTGCGAGGCTTCTCTGTCAAATCTCTTCTTCTTCACTGGCTTTGCTCCAGCGATGGCAGCAGTTGGCTGTGATGCCCAGAAGAAAGTTGGTGGCCACGGATGCAATGGAGACCACAAAGCCCACGAAGGCGATGAACAGGTAATCATCCAAGGTCAGTGTTAGGTGGCAGGCCTTGAAGCTCTCGTCGGTGAGGGAGAAGAGTGGTGCACCTTCAACTTCGGGGGGACCCCGGCACTCAGCCAGCTGAGAATCTACAACACAGGACCCAGGGAGGGTTAGGCCCAGGGGAGTCAGTTGGAGAGTTCCCAGCATTCCCACAGGAAGTGCCAGAAACTTTCTTGTGCCAAAACATGATTTATCTTCCATATTCCCCCCAAATAACCCTCAAGGCACCTAATGTTATAGATGATAAAATCATGATTTGTAGAATTTCATAACCTGTTGAAAGTACTGCAGCTACCGCTAGTGCTGGGTCTGAGGAGCCCCGGTGGCATAGTGGTTATGAATTGGACGCAAGGTTCACAGTTCAAAACTACCAGCAGTGCAGTCCCATCTTGACCAGTCACTAGGCTCTCCCCATTTCACCTACTTGCTTTGTTTTTTCCTCCATAATCCTCATCACTGTCTGACAGTTCATAATGGGTTTATTGTCCATCTCTTCTCCCTGGAGTATTATTAGCTCCTGCCAGAGTATCTTTGGCATCAAAACTAGGTCTTATCCACACTAAGTGTTCAATGAATCTTTGCCTAACAATTATATGAATGAATGACTCTGTACAACTTCAGCGTATTGGATCTTTCTTCTCCAGTTAGCTTTTCCATATACATGAATGATAGAGTTAACGGAATAGCCTTGTTATCATGCAGAGTGCATTAGAACATCTATTCGTGCTGATGTAGTTAGGTGAAAATTTAACACCTTCTCATATTATCTCCCTTTTGCGCCATTTAAAATTTGTTCTAGTTTTACATATTTTCTGCTTTCTTTTTCTTTTTAAAATTTTTATTTTTCTGCTTTCTTTTTCATAGAGGGTTTTCTGTGTTTCACTTTATTATTGTTGTTGGGTTTTCATGTATTTTCTGTTTATGAAATACAACATAGACATATCTATAGAGACAGTAATGAGATTTTTGAGGGTATGACAGGGGAGGTTGCGGGGAAATGGAGAACAAATAACAATGAGTTAGAAGAAAATGTTCTAAAAATGTTCTAACAATGAGGAAGAAGAAAATGTTCTAAAATTGATTGAGTTAATGATTATACAACTCTTCTTCATATGACCAAACTACTGAATTGTATGATAGGTGAGCTATATCCCGATAAAGCTGTTAAAAAGATGGGTCTGGATTCAGGAGCTATTGGTCAGGCTTCCAATGTCTTTTCCATCTCTCACTAGTTGTGTGATTGTGGAAAAGTGATTTAACCCCCTCCCCGGTTTCTTCTTCTGTAAGATGGGTCTAGTGATAGGATGGCGAAAGGGTTGATGTCTATATGAAGTGTATGTCCCTGGGGCATAATGCACATCATGGGAAAACCACACCAACGGTTGTCGAGTCGACTCTGGCTTATGGTGACGCCGTGCATATCAGCGTGAATGTCTGTAAAGCTCAGGAGTAAGTGTGTCGTGAAAAAGAGGATGCCCCTCAATGAGAGGGAAGACCCTCAGGGAGATGGTTTGAGCTGAAACAAAGGGCTGAAACACGATGATTTTGAGGATGGTGCAGGACGTGGCAGGGTTTTGTCGAGGCCTTAGGAGTTGGACTCAACTCACTGGCACTTAGCAACAATGACAATGGATAGCAGAGAAGAGCTGGGCTCCAGGGGGCTCCATAGGAGCTGATTTTCAGAAGCAGATCGCCAGTCCTTTCTTTTGAGGCACCTCTGGGTGGACTCACACCTGCAATCTTTTGGTTAGTAGCTGTGCATTTCAACTGTTTGCACCAGGCGGGGATGCCCATAAGCACTATGTATGTGCATGGTTTCCTTAGTATCCCACATTGGACTTTCTTGGCATGTCAGTGTGTTTGTGTGTGGTCATGTTCTGCACAAAGCTTCTCTAGGAAGGAGGGGGGGTTCTCCTTATGAGGGACTACCTTTCTCTCCAACATTGATAGTCTCACCTCATCTTCCCAGGGTCACTCTAATGGACGTCAATGTTCTCATCTTACTTTCCCTTGTAAGTCAGGGTGGCGATTCTGCCATAGAATGCCAGATCTTGGGCTCATGGAGGCAGCTTGTGTGGCCACCGCCTTCCTTGTGGGCATCAAAACCACCTTCTGCCATCCCCAGAACAAGGCCAGTAAAGAGGAAGTTTTTGAGATGCCGGTCACGCCCTCATTCTCTGGGTAAAGATGCCTCCATCTCTCACCTTGGGCAGGTTGACATTGGCCTTCCGTGCTCTTCTTCCATGAAAAAGGGGGGATAATCTAACCCAATTTGTCTAAGAAGATCAATGTAAAGAATGTTTCTACATCATGTACTGTGCAAAGACTCTTCATTTAGTCTGTGGCTTTTGAAGGCAGAGAATACAAAGATTGGTTTGAATGGACCCGTTTGAGATACGAATGAGCATCATTACCTTTAGAAGTGGGAAGTCAGGTTTAGATACAGCTTGCCCCAAGCCCCAGACCAAGTGGTCCCTGCTGGCTGAATACATAGTATCCCAAGCCCAACCCAGGCTGAGATGGCATCTAACCCTTCAAGGGCTCTCCTTTGGAGCCCAGAAGTTCATCAACTTCTAGATCCATTGTTCAATTGTGTGTGTGTGTGTGTGTGTGTGTGTGAGTTGGGGTGGTGGTGATAAGAGAATGGTGGCTGGAGGACATGGTGACATGAATACAAACCAGGCAGCGAAGACCAGAGTGTCATAGCAGGATTCCAAAGGGGTGACAGATGGGGACCTGGGCCTGATATTGCTTTCTGGTGAATCAGGGGGCCGTTCTTGATGGGGAATATCTTCTGACAGTGCACTTAGATCCCTTTCTCTTAGAATGTGTCTAAAATCTATGAGTAATTGTGGGAATTGCATGAGCAAAGGGACACGTGGGGAAGAGGATCACCCAGTCCCACCTCCACCGGCTAGCTCTTGATCCCTGAGAGGAAAGACCCTGTGATGTGAGGTACTGCCAAGTGGGCTCAAAGAGAAACAGGGACCCTGGATTCTTAGCTGTGGTTGCTTCTTTCTCCTCTGCACGTGATGGGATCTCAGGTCCTTGCTCATTCCTGGGGGTCTTTGATTCTTCAAAAGCGTGTTGGGGACCTCAGATATTACAGAGGAAGAGAACCCCATGTGTCTGCGGGAAGCAAGGTGGCCAGGACTGTCCTTTCTGTCCTTAGTGGAAGGGAGGGATAGAGGTGGAGCAGGCAGGGAGACCACTCTGACAGCATCCCTCCTCCCTGTCCCCACCTTCGTCCCATTTCAGCCCCTAGCTATTTTGGTCCTAGAGAAGGTCCTCCCACAGCTCTGTGCAAACACTGGAATCGTGACCCACAGCCCCCCTGAGCTATTTTGGTCCCGGGCTCCCCACTCAGTTCTCCTCTTCCTCCCACCTCATTTAACATCCATTCTTCTGAGCACACACGGAGCCCAGGCAGCAGGAAAGCCCCTGGGACCAGAGCACCAGGTTCTTCTGTGGTTCTACTGCAGGGGCCATGTCCCCGCTCAGTGGTTGTGATAGTGGGGCCACAACTGAACATTGCTTGTCACCTGGCCAGAGACTGCACTGCTGGGTGAGGCCAGCCTCTATCATACTTGTGTGGTTTTGGCTTCTTCAGAGCCCAATGCACCTTCCAGTTTGGCTAGACTGCCCCTAAGCTCCTCCCCCTGCACCCAGCCCTCACACAGATCTGCTGAGCCTCTCGGATCTGCCCAGTACTCAGACCCCGACTCTTCCTCTTAGTCCAGAACCTGATGCTTCAGGTACCTCCACAGGAGAGCCAGGCTGACCATTGGGTTTGACTCCTGCCTTTACTTAGCTACTCTGTGGCTTCAGGCAAGTGAGGGAACCTCTTTGTGCCTCGGTATTCTTCCCTGCAAGGTGGGGCCTCCTGAGGGTTCTTGTGAGGTGAAGAGGATATGCTTACAAGAGGTCTAGCACAACAGTGAACACTAGAGTCTACCATGTTGGCCGCTACCATCTCTTAGAGCGTTTTCACGGCACTCAGTAAGCTAAAGAAGAACTCGGGTAGGGCAGAACACAGCAAAGGCTTTCATACCAAAGGGAATAGTATTGAGAGGTTACCAAGAGGTGAGGTCGGGGGAACGATGAGGCTCTCTACTCCTGCAAAGAGTCACACTCTTTGAAACCCAGAGGGGCAGTGCCGCCCTGTCCTACAGGGTCACCATGAGTCAGAATTTCCTCAATGGCAGTGAGATGAGGTGGGGGGCAGTGAGATGAGGTGGGGGGCAGAGAGCAAAGAAGGAGGTTGAAGCAATAGTCTATAGCGTTGACAAGTACTAACCTGCGTGGAGGGGAATGTACGAATCCATAAGAGGGAGAAGAGAAGTCAAAGGAAGGGGGCAGGGTGAGCGATTACAGGGTTTCATAAGCAGTTTAAACTGCTGAATGGAAATTGATGATCTGAAATGTAACCCCCCACTTAATTCACAACACAAAAATTGCTGCTTTTTAAATGTCAAGTAAACTTGGGTTTTGCACTTGTCCCTGCCTGGTTCCTTGGGAAAGCCTTCTAATTGTTCTAAAGTTTGTCTTCTTCATGAGGCTACTTAAGCCCTGTCCAGTTGATTCATGATGACCCCATGTCTACCTGGAGTAGAACCGTGCTCCATCGAATTTCAAATGGCTGGTTTCTTTTGGAAAGCAGCTCACGAAGTCTTCTTCCTAAAGAGCCTATAGATGGTTTTGAACTTTCAATCTTTTGACTTGCACCACCCAGGGGTAACGGGAATAATAGGTGGGGGGCAGCCCATCAGGGCAGTCCTACTGTGTCCTATAGAGTCACTGTGAGTCAGAATCAACACATCAGCACACAGCTACAACCTTTATGGGGCAAACCCCCAGGTCTTTCTGCAGAGCCAAGGCTGGTGCTACCATTGCGTTCATGGGGGAAGGGAGACAGCAGATGGAGTAAGATATGAAAATAAAAATAATTTATAAATGATCAAGGGTTCACAACTGTGGGAGGGTGGGGGAGTAAGGAAAAAAGAGGAGCTGACACCAAGGGCTCAAGTAGAAAGAAAGGGTTTTGGAAATGACGATGGCAACATAGGTACAAATGTGCTTGATACGATGGCTGGATGGATTGTTATGAGACCTGTAAGAGCCCCCCAAAATAATGGTTTATTAAAAAATGAAAGAAAAGCCCCATTGTTCTACCAGGGTAGAACTCATTTATACAGTATTGGCTACTAGCTATTTGTTACTATCTGCCTGCCTGCCTGTTAACTGTAGGAGCCCTGGTTTCATATGGGTTCCAAATTGGGCTATAACCACAAGATCAACAGGTTGAAACCACCAGCTGTTCCTCAGGAGAAAGATGAGGCAGATCGACAGTCTCAGAAACCCATAGGGTCAGGAGAAGTTCTACCCTGTCCCACAGGGTCAATATGAGTTGGGATTGACTCAGTGGCAGTGATGTGAACAAACAGGCACCATAGAGGGAAAGGGCCTGTCTTATGAACTGATGGGAGCCAACAGCCCCTCGCTCAGCGGTTCTCAACCTGTGGGTCACGACCCCTTTGGGGGTTGAATGACCCTTTCACAGGGGTCGCCCGATTCATAACAGTAGCAAAATAACAGTGTTGAAGTAGCAATGAAAATAATGTTATGGTTGGGGGCTCACCACCACACGAGGAACTGTATTAAAGGGTTGCGGCATTAGGAAGGTGGAGAACCACTGCACTAGCTGATGTGTTGAATGATAGAACTGTCAGCCCAAAGAGGCAAGCAGAGATCAGGACACACAGTAGGTGCTTAAGAGCTCTAAGTCTGCCTCTACTTTGTTTCCTGCCAGACAAGCCCTCCCCCTTGCAGCCCAGTCCTGTCCCTGTCCCTTACCAGCCGTGCAGCGCTGGATCCGATTCCGTAGCCACTTCAGCAGGGGCTCCATGGTGCAGCCGCACACCCACGGGTTGCCACCAATCTGCAGGGTCACCAGCCCTGGTAGGCCCTCAAGAGCCTCCAGGCTGAGAAAGGCCAGGCCTCCGTAGCTGAGGTCCAGGTCTCGGAGGTGCACAAGGCCCTGGAAGGCCTGGGGGTGCACCCTGCGCAGCCACGGGTTGTGGCTCAGGTCGATGTGCACCAGCCCGTGGGCTGCCCTGAACATGTCAGCCGGCACGTGGCTGAGGTTGTTGTAGCTCAGATCCAGGTGTGCCAACCGCTTGGCGTGCAGGAAGAGGCCTGGTGGCAGCTCGACCAGGGAGTTGTTGCGCAAATCCAGCACCCAGAGCTCCATGTAGCATGTGAGGTAGCCGGGCGGCACGGCAGTGATGCGGTTGTGGGCCAGGCTGAGGTTTCGGGTGTCCATGGGCAGGTCTGGGGGCACGGAGAAGAGCCTCTGGCTGCTACAGTCCACTACCTGGTTATGGCACATGCAGAGGACTGGACAGCTGGTGCCAGCATCCGCTGAGGGCCTCATCCCAGCTACCAGGAGGAGGGAGAGGAGCAGCATGGCTGGGTGGGGTGGCCCAGGCCACGGCAGCTGGGCCCAAGTGTCCCCTTTCCTAGGCAGCTGGGAGCAGCAGTGTGGAAGGGAGCTCATTGGGGCTGGGCCTGTGTCCATGGACTGAAGAGCCAGTGGCACAGGAAGGGAGCTACACCAGGGGCCAGCGGCCTGTTAGGTGGGGCCTCGCAGCACGTGGTCTCATGGCTTAAGCCTTTCCTGGGAGCCTCATCTCACAGATGGCTCCCCAGGTGAGCCTTTTGGAGCCTAGGGGGACAAGACACCCAGGCGAGGCCCCCCAGGGTCTGGAAAGATGATCAAAACTTGAGGCAGGAAGGGCAAGAGGATGGGGCTGGGCCAGCCGTCAGCAATTCCTGGAAGGCTGCCTGCAGGTCTTCTGTGCGCCTCTGGTCCATACCTGCTGGGCCCTCCCTCTGGGTGCTCTGCACCAGCTGTGGGAGCCGGGCGTTGAAGGAGATGAAAGGTGCCCTTCGAGAAGTCCTGGCACTTTTCCCAAGAAAGCCTGCCCCCAATCTTTGACTGATTAGGCGACCAAGTTTGCATCCGGGCCCCCAGCAGTCAAGCCCTCAGAAGGTATTTCTCACCGTGGCTTTGGGGGGCTTGAGTCCAAGGGGGCCCTGGCGTGGGCGCTGTGGGCAGAGAACTCAGAGGGAAGGAGGCCTCCATGGGCCTGGGAACGCTGGAGCCCTTAGCCTCAGTGGCTGCTAGAGTGTCTGAGCAGGTGATTGCCTCCCTGGGGTGGGGAGGACCCCCAGCGATGTCCACGTTGGAGACTGCTGAAGCTGAGAAGAGCCATTAGTCCAGGAGGGGCAGGGCTGGGGGTCAGCTAGGAGAGCGCTGGTCACTTCTCCAAGCCAGCCCCTCCTTCTGCTTGCCTCCGGATTTCGCAGGCAGGGCAGAATTCCCTCTGTGAGAAGAAAAGTCATCCAGCACCAAAAGCCTGTGGTCCCTCACCTGGATCCCAAGTCCCGCCTCCCAAACTTACCCTCTCTCCCTGCCAACCCCCACCCCCTGCCCTCTTTTGCTCTTTTGCCTCAAAGTTCTCAGCTGAGGGTCCTGAGGTGTGGCCACCCTGGGGTCCTGTTGTTGTCACCTACCCAAATCTCCCCACTGGGACCTGCACTCACCTGGCTGGCTTCTTGGATGCATTTCCTCCTCCTGGAAGCCCCACACCCCAACATCTCAAAACACCCCGCCCATGTGCTGCCCGGATGAAAACAAGCCTCCACAGCTCTGACCATGTTGCACACCCTTTTAGATATGCCCAGCCCCTCTCTCTCTTACACACACACACACACACACACACACACACACACACACTCTTCCCCTTGCCCCCAG